AAGCGTTCGAATTTACCTCCTTCCAATGACTCCTTGCTCGAACTTCTTGCTAAAACTTCTGAAATCTAATGGCTGTTGCTTAATCTCGCTTGGGTTGGGCTCTTCGAGTGGTTAACGATGGCGGGGATTGAGGGATTTGGGTAATTGATTTTCTTGATTCGTGGATTAGGGTTTCGAATGTGATTTCGATTTGGGGTTTTTTGAAATCGATTTGGGAATTTCCTTCCTTTCTCTTTTTGTTTGAAGATGGTAAAGGCGTGTCAACAGTTAAAACTTGATAAAGGCGTGTTTCGCCGTGTGATGTGGCGCTGACATGGCGTCTCTTTTAGAGCTTGCATGGTCGTGCTTAAAATCCAATTAAAATTGAAAATATAGCCGTTATTGGTTCTCACTCGTCTAATAAAAGTCAACAATAACGGTTAGTTTTTCAATTTTAATCCGATTTTCTACCGAACACGTCCTGAATATTTGGAAGGAGATAACATGTCAGCTCAAATTTCCATCTTCCATGTCATACTCATCGTTATTTGAAACGGCAGCCACCCAGTGTGTAATGGAGGATAACAGATCAAAGTTCAATGGGTAATGGGACGATTATGAAAGTTCGGTAGATAAATCGTGACATGATGTAAAGTACAATGGGTAATTAAACATTTAACTCTATTGCGAACCGGAGGATTAGATTTTAAAATGGATATAGTTTGGTACTCGGTTATTTAGAAATCGGTTTATTCGCTTATCGTTACTTAATTTTAGTTTGACTCAATTTTGTAAACGATTTATCAATACTCGAGTTACTTTCTATCAACACATTTCAAATACTTTACGAGCATAGTGACGATAAGGATTAAAGAGAGGGAGGACAAGTGTTTGTTGGTTGTATTGTTATTGGAAGCAATGAAGTCGATTGAGGGAGCGAAGAAGATGAATATGGTGAAGTTGATGAATCAATCTAAGGTGGTGATAGTAGAGAATCTACATTAGGCTATTGTTTGATCTCTATTACTTCCAAAATACATTGTTCTCTCTTATTTTCAACTAAATATTTTCAATAAAATAATACTACACGCAAATTCAAAACTTTTTCTTATTTTTTTATCACACATTATCTATCAATCTATTATTCAAAAATTCATTCTTACAATCAGTGTTCTAAATAGCGGGAAAAAGCGCCGCTATAGAGTGGAGCGTGGAGAAAACGCGACGCTTTTGTGATATGCGCGTAAAATAACAGTAACCTTTTTTGTTGACAGCTTTAGTGCGCTATAGCGGCACATTGCGCGATTAAGCGCACTATAGCGCTTTTTCCCGCCTTATCGCGCTTAATCGCGCTATAGCGGCGCTTTTTCACGCTATTTAGAACAGTACATGTGTATGTTTATTTTTATATAAAAAATTTATTTTTTTAATATAAAAATCTATTTATTATATTTAAAATAATATTAAAAGTACGAAACAAGTTATGACGTTTATTCTCCGCATTGACACGCTTAAATTTGTGATTCTTGATTCTTGACCTTGACGCTACGCAACGCTTTACACTTTTTAAAACACTGCTTACAATAAAACGAGGCTCAAACAGGCTCTAGAATCTTGTGTTGTAGCAACCTCAAGAGGTGCATTATTAAATACTGTTTTCGGTAAAGTTTTTGGATCAAACAAACAAACTTATTGATCAACGCAAGTTGACTCTTGACCCCTACTGTTCGAGTCGGTTCAGCATGTGCACGAGCTGATTCTGTCTAATCCACCTACTTTGACATATGTTAGGGCAAATTTCAACTTTCAATTTGTGTCACTTATGTCTTTAATTTTTTTAATACTATGTACGATATCTCCATTTGACAGATATGTTTATTTAGATATTAAATGGCAACGCAACAAGCATTTGATATTCGATTGAAAGGGTAAATTTGTCCAAAAATAATAATATTTAATGTAATTTGAATGCCGCTTTGTTTTTGGAATAAAAAGAAGGGATTCTTTGTTAAAAGGCATAGTCAAACAATGTATTTGAATAAAGAGCATTTTCTCAATGTTTATTGAGAATAAAAAGAAGTGATTATTTGTTAAAAGGCATAGTCAAACAATGTATTTGAATAAAGAGCATTTACTCAATGTTTATTGGTAAAATGGCCTCCATTTAAAAATACAATAAATAAAGGGAGTAAAATGTCTAAAATATCCCTACCATGAAAAGACTCAAATACCCTTTCAATCCAATTAAATTTCTCAATTCATCTCTAATCCAATTCACGAGCTCTCCGTCTCCTATGATTGTTTCCCCCCACAAAATCTTGTTATTTATTATATTACTCACATATCTTTTCCTACATTTTGAGTATTTGAATAAGAATTTTGTTTTCTATAATATCTACATTGAAATCTCTAAATAATTGAAGAAAAAAGAAAATTATTTTTGGTAATATCGTATACATTGGTCNAAAAAAAAGAAATGTATTTTTGGTAATCTCGTGTACATTGATCTTTTTATTGTTGAATATAGTATGAAATGATATTTTAGCTGATTTTTTTCCACAGTTGGTGTATTTCTGTAGTGTGTGTAAACTATTGGACGATCTACAGTACGAAACGACACTCCAGCCGTTTTACGTAGTGCAGAACGACAGTACAGTCGTTATCTTGTACAGATAGTGTACCACTCAGCGAGAGACATGAACAATGAAGACAAGATAGCACATATGTTGCTGTTGTAGTATTACGATGTACTCATTTTGTAATATTGAAAAATGATGGTGGCATTATGTTACGATGTACTACTTTTGTCATTTTGAAAATCAAACTATATATAATATTTGGAAAGAGGGATTATGTAATTGTCTTAGGCTCGATGAAGCCATAATGACAGTTATACTGTTTAACTATAGTTGTGTCGTTTTCTTTTTTCTGTTGATTAAGTAATGAACATAACTCCCGAATGTTGTAACTGGTGTGTTCATCCTGCAACTTAAATGAGTTTAGCTTATCATTATAGTGGCTCGGACGGGTCACGGCTCTTCATAATCGTGTTTAGAGGCAGAACGACACTTGTACTGTTTTCAAAACAGTAACGACAGTTTTGTCATTTTATTCTTTCCTCTTAATTAAATAATGAGCATAAATCTCGAATGTTGTAAGCGGCGTGTTCAGACTGCAACATAAATGAGTTCAG